GCTGTGAGTACCGCTGTGCCCTGGCTGTGGGTGCTGCTGTGCCCTGGCTGTGGGTGCTGCTGTGCAGGATGTGAGCACTGATGTGCTGTGGGTGCTGGTGCCCTGGCTGTGAGCACTGGCTGGCCTGGATCTGAAGGGATCAGATCAGAAGGGTCACTGTCAGTCAGCTCAGTGACTGTTTCTGTCCAGTTAAAGAAAGCCCAGTGTTCCATGGATGCTGAAGTAGGTTTTCCTCCCCGAGTGTTCTGTTCCCTCAGTTCCTGGATAGCTGGACAGATCTGGTGACAGCCCCTCCCTAACGGGCATTGGTCACTTCCCTGTGTAACCCTGTGCTCTGCATCCTGCACATCACAAATTAGACATACGCTTTCACTCAAATATTAACGAGTTCTCTTACCTCTCTTTTGCACATCTATTTCCTGCAGTCTGACAAGTGTAGCCAAGTTGCATAAATTCGACTGCAAAAAAAAAAAAAAAAAAGAAAAAGGGAAAATGAGGAAGTTTTATCTCAAACGCTCCTTTTACCACCAAACCACTGGGTGTCAGTGTCGATCTCGCTCGGATATTGCTGTAACTTACTTCCATAGCAAACCAGCCGTTTTTAAAGACCCTTACGGTGTTGGGAACTATCCACGTTCTTCTCCAGGTGTGTTCAGAATAAATATTTTGCTTCCACTGGCTGTTTCAGGATATTTTCAACTCGGTGATTGCAGCGTTGTTCCTCCTCGTTGTGTGCTTGTTTGCAGTAATTGTCAAGAGCAACAAGGGGACATTGGCTGGAGGAGTAAGTAGGAACATTGTTAATGAATTTCAGTTCTTAAAGTGCACGTGATTTGAACCTCGTGGTACAGTTACATCATGGTGGGACCATGAAAGCAACTGTCTTGGAAGAACACATTCAGCAATCACAAACAAAAGTGAATACACATTCATTGCTTCTTACTAAGAATAATCCTAAAATCACTAGTAATTTAAAAATATTACAAGGCAGGAGTTACTACAGAGAAGTTCCAACACTGAAAACTCCTAGAGTTTAACTAATTTGCGTAACTTGGATTTACTTCCACAGGTTGAAGTCCTAGGTGGGAGAATCCATAGCTCTTTTAGGACTATCCAGTTTGGTTACACTGTTTAGGAGGAAAGGCCTAACTAGTTGAAAGAGTTGAAACTTTTTAGCAGACATGCTGGTACCTCCCTCCTGACATGTACATTATGCTTGCTGACACAGACTGAGGAATTACGCCAGTTGAAAAGGGGTTTTGTTCATACTATGATTGTAAGACTTTTGTGTTCTTAAGATCAAACCAGTTTAATAGTTTAAGCAACTGGTATTTTTAATTCAAATGGAAACTAATGTAATTAACAAACAAGAAGGAGGGAAAGTCTTTTTTAAAGTCTCCAGAAGTACAAGAGGAGCTGAAATGTGAAAAGCAACCAAAAGAAACCTAAAACCTGCCACAGGGGTTTTTCAAAATCTGATTAGGAGACGGTAAGATGGGAAGCTGATGTCTTCACTGGCAACAACATCCTAAGCAAAAAGGAGACTTCCTGGTCAAGTGACTGGCTCTGCTAGAATAGAATTTATATTCTTGGTTGGGAAGTTAATAGAAATTAAAGGTGGGAGCAGCAGACTAAGCTGGTAGCTGGGAAAACAAGTTTGGGCAGAACATATGACATCTTCAGTTCTGGGAGAAACAGAATTGCCCACAGTCTGTACTCCTGGGGCACAAACTGCCTTGAGCTGGGCTCTCCTTAGCATTATTCCCTCTGATCAGATAATTTAGTGCTTGCATAAAAAACCCTGGTGTGCATGTGGGATGAGGCTGAAGGGTGGGAGCTGAGCAAATTAACTCAGCAAAGCCATTCTGCAAACACATTTTTCCAGTTGCCTGCCTGAGGTTGTCTATTTTTTTAAATACTTCTGTACATTTTCTCCAATTTGGGATACGTTTCCCATTCAAAGCTTCAGAGGAGAGCAGTACTTTTTTTTCCTGCTAGGCTTGTTTCATAAATTTTGACTTTTCTCCCTGACTTCTCTCTGGGCCAGTTCCAGTAATTAAGCCATCCTTACAAGGACAGAAGGCCTTTCATTTAGGATAAAAGCATTGTCTGGCATAATGCAGCATCAGCTTAGCTTTCAAGGAGAGCACCACACCAACTCCAAGGCTTCACACAAACATCAAACACAGCAGGGTGTAGACGGCTCTGTGAGAGGCTGATGGGATGTAAATATGGGTGTTATTTAATTTATCAGCTCCCTCAAATCACACACGTGTTTCAAAGGCAGAACCAAGTTAGGAAGATGTGTTTACTGCTGCTTTGAGGAACAGTAGGTGAGTCTGTACAGCAAAAGATAGAGACTGTTAGGGGGAACTAACATTATGGTTATTTTTGTAGGTGTTGGGTCTTATATTGCTTGTTCTCTGCGTTGTCGACACGGTTCTTCTTTGCAAGAAGATTAGCCTTGCTAGACCAAGAGGAAGGAATGCTCCTACCAGATAAGACTGCCGTGTTAGTAAAAGGATTTCTCCATTGATGATTGTTTCACCACTCTCTTTTAAAGAATTTGTGTTTTCACATGTTCACCTTAGAATTTCCTGTGCATTGATGTATGTTTTTGCAAGTATTGTTTATACGGTTTTCAGACATTTCCAAATGTAGTTTCAGTGGTGCAGTTAAAGCTTCATAGAAAATGGTCTTGTTTTTCTGAACTTAATTACATTTTTACTCATATGAAAATGAACTTCATGGTTGTCTTCTTTCTGTAATAAAAAGAAAATATAAACGGGCTTAAGTGCATTATTTAATATTATTTATTTAATATTATTTATTTACTAAGTGTACTTAAAGGTGTCGTGTACCTTTAGAATGGAACATCCTTAGAATGGAATTTTTTCCACCCTTGTGTTGCTTCATTCCCTAGCTCATTCTCGTGGCTGCTGGCTGGCTGCTGCCATGGGAATTCTTGTTAGAGCGTTGGCCGAGGCATTTCGATCCTTCGAATTCGAGGCTTTACCGTGGGGTTGGACTCGATGGCTTCCAGCAGCCCCTTCCAAGCCGAACCGCTCCGTGATTCTGTGATTTATCTGTTCAGAATGGCACGGAAAAGAACCTCTCAGCCTCCCTGGCAGGACAGCGCTGCAGCGGAGAGCAGATTGAATCCAGTCGGTACGATCAGTGCCTCGGGACCGGCCGGGCGGTGCCTGCGGGGCCGGGGGCGGGCGCGGGGGCCGCCCCCCACATCTGGGGATGCTGAAACTTTTTTCACGTTTCCGCAGTGTCACGA